TTTTAAAATAGATGATTGTTAGATTTTTACAAGCATTTTTAATTTAAATGTTATTATTGTAGATAGAAAGAATAAAAAGCTCATTTTATATTAAGAGTAAGATTAAGAAATAAAATCGAGACAATTAAAATTAAAATCTAAAATAAATTCTTTATTTTAACAAGATGACCTCTTAAGTATCTCTTTAGAGAATTGTACTCACATTCATATTTTAATTAACACTTTATAATTTTTAGAATCTATTGAAAACTTATAACAAAACTGTACTTACAATTTGCTTTCTTAAAACAAATTATTTTACTCATCAAACATAATTATAATCACCTGGATTACCAAAGAAGTTTACTATTTCTAAAATATCATTGAATTTCAAAAACTAAGTAATTCATATTATATAATGTTTGAATTAATTTAAAACTAAGTACAATCTTAAATTTATTGTTTGGAAGGAAATAAATTAATCTATCTAAGAAACTTATTACTTAAGATTATTAAATACACTATCCTATTTAATATAAAACCTACAAATCGTAGTACTTGGCTCTTTTAGCTTTCAAAATCAATTAGGAGAATAATTTAGATTGTTTTGTATTAATCTATGATTATGATAAACCAATAAGTTCTTAACTTTTAAAAGCTATCCCTATTGATGATTCTCATTCTTAATTCAGTTTTATTCGACTAAATAGATTTATAACGATATACAAAAAAGCTGTGCATATAGAAAATTTTTTAGGAGTTTATGTTTCAATTAAATAAACCTATCTTAATTTTGATACTTACATTAAAGCATCCCCATTATAATTAGAAATTAAATCTCAAATTTCCAACCAATAATTACCTTTAAATATAACCTATGTATTTGTAAATAATGATTAAACCTTAAGAAAGAGATTAGAAAATTCAACAAATTATTTTATTTTTTCTGAAAATCGAAAATCTAAAATAATTAATATATCAAATATTTTTGGAAATATTGGTTCTATATTTTATAATAACATAACGAATAGAATTCCTCTATAATCTACAGAAATAGTGGATATTTTATAATGTTCATTATACATTGTGGATATATGTTTAAAAGATGAAAAATCTCTCATAATCAACTCTTTTTCTGATCCATATAATTTAAATATTGAATATCTGACAATTTTTTATTTGATTGAATATGAAAAATTTATTAACGGGTCATATTTATACTATTTAGACAATAATTATTTTTTATAAAAACTAATACTAAATGAGCAAATGGATATTATCTCTAAATAAATGATCTATTTTTAAATGATATTTATGTATTTTTTATGTTTAATAATAATTTATATGGAAACAAGGAAAATAATCATGACTGTTTTCTAAATGTCAATTTCATATAAAATTTTTGATCATCTAATTCTTATTAATTTTCAACAAAATTTTTCTAATTCATATTAAAAAGGCTATAAACATATTTGATATGGAACTTTAATTATTCGAACCTATTTAATTAGGATGTCTTTAATAATAAGAGTAAAAAATTACGTTTTTAATCCACTTTCAATTTTTAATTATAATAATTAATATTTTTCTTCTGTAATCATATCAAATTTTTGACAATCAATTTCTAATGTTTGATTTTCTACTTTTATAATTTATAAAGAAATCTAGGCCTGCAATTCAAATATGTAATTTTAAATTATTTGGAATTCTTAAGAAAGGAATTCCATTCATTTCTAGGATTTTAAAAAAGTTTATTTGATCTTATATAGGCATAAGGAATTCACGCTTTAGAATTATAATCATATTTAAACTGCTAAACCTTGTCCAGACAGCGTTGGGAAATTAGATCACAAATTATAAAAAATATATTTCATTTTCTAAAATAAATTATTTGTAATAATAGAAATGAAGCTTTTTTCAAATTAAAGGAAATAGATGTTTTAACTAAAAATGAATATATGTAATACTTCATCAGATTTATTATATAATTACATAAAATCTGAATCTGGATTTTCTCCTGTAATGTTTAGTTAAGAAGATTAGAATTTTTTTCATTCAATTCTTTTGACGATAAAAAAAGAAAATAACTAACTTCCCATTTAGGATTGAAGCTTTCTTGTTAATTGATAGAAATGTTAAAGTGAACAAGACTTAATTGAGTACGATAGGATTCGCGAATATGATTATTTTTAGGACACATTTGAAGAGAGAATGAAGATCTCCTAAACTTATTCGTTTTTATTAATATCTATTTAACATTTTACAAAAATGGAGGCTAATTCTTTTTGTAAGACTTTCTTATTTAATTAAGAAAGTTTTAAAGTTCTGCAAAATATTAGATGCATTAATTACACAAGAATCTTTGTTTCTTGTCTAACTGTGGATCTATTGTTTTCTTTATTTTTCAACTAGAGCAATATAAAAATTGTATTAAATTTTATGATTAAAAAATTAATTCATGCTATCCCATCTTTTGAAGAAAGCTAATCAAAAAGAAATAGAGCTAAGCCATTTTTTGAAACCAAAATACGTTCTCCATAAAAAAAATAAAATCTTGAGGATTTGTTAATAAAAAAATAAAACAATGAATCTGTAAAGCAGGCAATTAGACTTGAAAATTAAGCTGCAAGATAGGTTTAAATTATAAAAAATTTTTATTGTTCCTTGTTTTTCATTATAATTTTAACCATGTCATATGTTCTTATTAAATTAGAAGATAATTTTACCCAAATAGTGCTCCAAATTATATCAATCTGATGGAGAAACTTTGGAAACTAAAAAATTATTCACTTTTAAATAAGTTCCTTATTTGAAATAAGGATGAGCAGAAAAGTTGTGCAATGCTTCCGAACACGAAAGAATATAAAAATTAATTCTATTTATATTTTAAATACCTGAAAGATTAATTGAAATTTGAACTTTCTTTCTTGATTTTTATATTAAGGTTTTCTTTTATATAAAACCTTAAGCCCCAGGCTATAGAGTTCCATTTAACATCATTTTGCAATTTCTTTAATAATCTTTTGGAATATAAATCATTGATTAAACTCTATTGAAGAAATCTCTGTAAAATTTAATTTATTACCTTTTTTTCTAATCCCAATCATGGAATATTCCTCTTGAACATAAAAATGGATTAGCCGAATGATAATGTCCTATATAACTCCAAAAATTTGATAAATTTCCTCCAACTTCAGATAGACAACCTGATAAACTTCCATAAAACAAAATACGATAATCATCCATAAATATTTAATTAATTCAAATTGAATATAAATTCGATGATGATAAAATACAATAATTATTAAATGCTTATTTAAAAATTTTTTTAATGGTTTATAAATAATTAAATATGCTTTATAATATATTAGTTTTCAAAAAGAATTTTAGATTTATCCTGTTTAGGAGAATTGAAATCCTCTCTCTCAAGCATAAACAAGAAACAAGTAAGGTGAAGATTATTATTATAAAATTAATAACATGATTAGAATTCACATATTAATTTGAATTTGATCTGATCCTAAATATAGATATTAAAAAATCATTTTAATATGCTTTATGAATTAATCAAGAACTACAAGAAGAATAATAATATTTTATTTATATTATTACCAAATTCTTCGATTGTGTTACAATTAATTTTGGAAAATCAAAATAAATAGCACTTCGACTTGTTTCAACAGTGATGATTTTATGTATTAAGTATAGATGAGAACAATCATTGTGAACGTTTTAACTTGGTTTATTAAACATTTTAACAGGCAAAAAAAAGGGTATAAATGATCTTAAAAGAATTTCATATTCATCTTTAATTGTTTGGTCAAGCATATTGCCATTATTTTTATTTATATATATATTTATATTATTTAAATTTCATGAGTATTTCAGCTGAGGAAAAATCCATGCTTTAATATATATCTTCTTATTGAGTTATCTCAATTTTTCTTTATAATTGAAAATCTTTTATCATTATTTTATACTTACAACTTATAACTTGAAATTTATCTATAGATTCCAACATTTATTGTGGTGTAGCACCGGATTCGGATCTTTAAATCGTAATTAATGTAATTAATTAAAAAAAATCAACAATTTATTTATTTATATTTCTTAATTATTATCCTTCAATATAATCTTATTCTGAGTTCTTAAGTAATTATGTATAAAGAATATAGCTCAAAAATAAGATACTCCATAAACTCAATCAAGTTTTTGATGTTTGGAAATCGATAGATACTTTAGGGGTAGTTATACATTAACGAATAAAGTTGTCTTTTAGGAAAGAATTTGACGTAAGGAGAATGTACCACAGTGATCAAGATAGTTTTTACTTTGACTTTGAAATTTATGCTAATTAGGTGTTCACTTCCTCCCAAATTTGAAATATCAAGATAATACTATAGTGGAAATTAATCAAATTCGTAAATTCTGGTTTTGAATGGTAAATAGATCTAATAAAGTTGATTATTAATGTCAGCTTATTAAGATAAAGGTTTTGTAATTTCTAAACACTATCTTGTTTAAAAATTGAATTATACTTCCAAAATAATAAAATAATTAAAGGCTAAGAAAAGAAGCCTTTTTGGTTGAACCCTTCTAAAAAACTATTTATTATACAGTAGCTTTAATGCTAATTTAAATAATCTAATGATGATTATTGCCTTCAGTTTTCTTTTGATTGCTTAAATTATTTATATAATTTTAATATTGTTTTTGAGTTTACTTCTTTTAGACTCCTTCTAATAGTCAAAAATTATTTATTTTGTCTACAAGCTAATAAACTATGAACTATAAAGTAACCAAATTAAAATTAAATAAAAATTTTTTAGTTTCTAGATATTTTTATAAAATAAATATAGAAAAAATTTAATTAACTTGGTATAATTTTTGAAAAAGTTCTCTTGATGAGTTTTTACTAAGTCGAGAGCCTAAGGTATCTTGGGAAGAGATGCAGTAGTCATCCAAAGGTCCTCCCAGTGCTCTTTGACCCCAGATCTTGTAGTTTTATATGTGACGTCAGTTGTCGAAATTCGTCGGATTCTAATGTAACAGAGCCAAGACTGAGGGCAGGAGCGAGTCTCTTGATCTGTCTGGAATAAAGGTAGATATATGGGTGAAGTATGAGCATAAGTATCCCATAACTCTAGGGTGTCGATTGGCTAATGGACACTGACCATCCTCCCAGCTTTATTTTAGGAATTGAGAATGAAATAAGATGAGGTGGGTTTAGGCCCCTAAGTACTGGATGAACAAAGACTAACCAGATAAGACAGCAGAACTTTAGGCAGCCAGGGAAAAAGTAAGTGAACCTTAGTTTGATTCACTCCATCCTTATCTTGGACCTTCCATTATTGAGAACTATTCAGATTCTAATCAAGGAAAGATATAGTTTGTGAATCAGTGCCTTTGGTAAAAAGAGAAGAACCAGAAAAAAGGCTCATATTTTATTATTATTATTATTAATAATAAATATAACTATGATCAACTTTTAATATTCAATTGATAAATATTTCATAGATATCATATTTCTGTCCAGATTTACTCCAATTAACTAGATATCTTCCATCATTACTTAATGCTCCTTAAATAGAATTTGATTCATATTTTATCGATGTAATTATTTATAATTAGCCATTATTTGATATTTTAATTAAATAGACATGGCATTTGTATCTAACAATTACTAAACGTTTTTCTTTGTTATAAAAGATAGGATATAAGGTATAATCATAATCTGAATCATTTTTAATTAATTTAACTTGTTTATCTAAATTTTCTTGATATTTTCCATCTTTTAATTCAAACATGCTAATGCAATCTTTGCCTATTTAATTCCCTGTCACCCAAATAAATTAATTATCATTAATAAAACACAATCTGCGTCCTTATTCTTTAATTGTTTATGTAACTACATACTCAAATTACCATTTCTATTTATTATCTTTATTCCATATTATTATTTAATTATCATATCCGCAAGAAACCAAGATATTTTCTGATTAATTAAGACATAAACTAAAAACTGAATTTGTATGTTTTTCTAATGAGTAAAGATAAGTTAATTCATTCTTATTAAAATCAATTTACCAAATTTTAATTGAATTATCAGCTCCACCAGAAACAAGTTCTTTTTCAGATTAATTTAAGATTAAACATTATATGTAATTAGTATGTTTTTAATAGGATTAAGAATTCTTCCAATCTTTTTCATTTATTTATTTCCAACATCGAATTGAATAATCACTACTAGCTGATACAAAACTATTGCTTTTCTGACTAAATAATAAACAAAAGATATTTTTAGTATCTCCTTTAAGTGTAGTAATTTCTTTTAATTTTCCTTAAGCAAAAGCCCATACCTTAATATCTTATTTAGAAGCAGATATCATAATGGATCCAGATAAATTAAAAGAAATTGCCAAACAATCATTTGATTACTTAATTGAATCATCAATAAGTTTAATTGTATAATTTGGATCTACTTATTCAAGTGAATTATCAATCATTTTAAAATGATGAGATGAATTCCAATTTTATAAGTATTTATCACATTATGAATATAATTTTAAGTTCTTAAGATTAGATAAGTTCAAATTAATTTTAGAATAATATGAATTAGCAAGTACTTTAATTGATTCTCTTATTTATTCTTCTTTGGATGTATTATTAATTAATAATTCTAATTCATCATAGAAATTATATTATGAATTAAGTTTTACAATCTGATTAAGACTTTTGATCCAATCTACAGAATTAAATATTAATTAATCCAATAAATTAATGAGACTTTATTTTATTTTATGTATTTCACTCTAGAATAATTCAATTAAATCTAAATCAACTTAAATGAGTTTTTAGATATTGTCTACAGTATTTTTTTAATTGTCTTCAATCATTTAAAGTACTTTTTTGAATCCAATCATTTTACTATCACTTTCAAATGTTTCCATACAAATATTACACAAAAGACATTCTTATCCTTTTAGCTTTTTATCAAATACAACCATGAGTATTGGCTGATTATGGTTTTATCTGCAATTCAATAATTTTGTTACTTCTATCATTAGTTGTTAAATCTTAAAATAAATAAATATTAATAAATTTATTAATTAATAATAAAATAGTAATAATAATACGAAGCCAATATTTTGACAATAATATTAAGGGCTTAGATTTCCAAACTTTCCCATCCCTCAAAAGACACACATAATCCAAAAAGTTACCAATCGAATCTGATACTTAAAAAATAGATGAAGAATAATATATTTGAAGGAAGAATTCTTTTAATAAACTTAATCACAGTAATCGCGTTAAGAGATTATCAACACAGAAAGACCAACTGTATTGATATAAAAATTGAAAAATATCAATCAATAACTATTATAATTATTTTTATATTTTTTATTTTTTGAATTTTATAAATATGTAAAAATATACAAAAATTTAAGCAAAGAAACCTAAAAAATTTTAAATCATATATTTAATTTTATTGACTCAAATATGTGTATGTATCTGAGATAGAAATCCTTAATAGCAAAATAATTAACTTAATTATATCATTCTTAATTTCTATTAGGTTTATTTTGGCAAGACCAAATTTTAATAATAATAATAATTGAATGGTATAATTTTCCCCTCAATTTCGAGGCTGGGTGCCTTGTTCTTCTTTTTTCCAAGTCTTCTTTTATTTTTTTTATTGTAATTATTAATAAAAATAATTTTATTCAATTGAATTGGCCCACTAATTTATAATTTTTGAATACAATTATTTTAAAAGCAAAGAATTTCAAATTTTAATCTTCAGTAGCATTCAACGACCGATTACCAAATCAAGAAATATAGTCTTTGCTAAATTATAAAATTTCAACGTATATAAATTAGTATGCATCTCCTTCAAATCATTTTGTTGTGAATTGAGAGATCTACATGTTATTAAACGAGTTAACGCCAATTTAACAAATTTTTTACTAAAAGAAAAAAAAAATTTAAGTTGAAAAAATTTATGGATTTTAAAACCGGAAACTCAATAATTAATAAAATTCAATATTTATTTCTTACAATAAAAAAAATATTTGCATAAGCATATTATGAAATTAAAGTTCCTTTTTATAAGCTAACCATTTCCAAGGCTAATAGTTAATGTGCTCAAAATATAACTTAAATAAGATAATTTAATTTATTCAAATATATTTTATTAATTAATAGAATTGATATTTATCTTTATGTTAATATCTTTTTAATGAAATTGTTTAGGTTTTAATTCTCATATGATGTTATTAGAATAATATTGAAAGAGATTTTTATCTCTTATATACACTGAAGCATTTAAGATAAGCAAGTATATAAATAGTAATTAAGGTGAATGAGTAATAAATAGATATTGTTGATTTTTCCATCCAAAATTTTGGTCAATATTATTTTTAACTTAACTTTATTATTCATTTAATTAGTTATTTTCTCTAGGTTAAAAAGTAAGGAATAAAGAACAAATTTAAAAAATAATGCCTTTTCAACATAAAGAGCTGAACTACCCCGAGTTAACAATCAAGCAGTTAGTACTCATATTAAGACTGAAAAATAAATTAATCCAGTAATAGCTTATCATCAAATAAAAGTCATCACAATGGAAAAGAAATATTTCAATAAATTATTGTTTATCACTTAGACAAGATTGATGTTATTAAATTGCTAATGAAAATTATAACTAGATAGAATAAACAATCTCTCAAAAGATATTTGAAGATTAATAAAATTGAATAGCACTAATTTATAGATGTATTATTTACAATTAGTAAATAGTATTATTAAGACATATCGTTAGCTGAAGGCACTTAATAGTGAAGTGAAGGTTAATATTGTCAAAATACATTGAAAGAATGTTTCCAGATAAAAAACAATTTGTTCCTAACACAGTATTACAGGTAGAACTGAACAAGATGGATTAACCGTTGTTCCTAAGTAAGAGAATGCTGTTTCTTAAATTAAGGTTTTAAGTCCACTTAATTAAATTTCTTCTTAGTGAATCTGAATTCTTCATCAATCATTTATAGTTATGATGAACCTTCTAAAATTTGAATCTGTAGATCTGAATTTTGATAATTCCTTAAAATGTTGATTGTGTACAAGACTATTAAATTTTAGTTATTTAGGACATTAACTTTTTGAATTAGAAAGAAACTATGTATGGGGTATTTGTAGAGATAATATAGGTACTATAGTAATCATCTTCAGCAACATAACCATCACATTTTTAAGGTCTTTATTAACGTCCTTCATTTTCAAAAGTAATGCAATCCTAGAAGTTTTCACAACCTTCACATTACATATATAATTTGTAAAAGAATCCTAAGTGTGTTAAAAATCTTAATTTTACAACAATTAAATGATAATCACATTTATTTCTCTCATCATAAGTAACACTACTAAATTTATTTTACGTATCTCTATATTACATTCAGGTGGATTTAATTTAACTATTCTACATTCTAAGGCATCATAATCAGGTTCTCCAATGATTTCTTAATTATTTCTATGCTGCAATTTAAATAATAACAACAGCTATAGGCATGTCAAACGATAAGTTAACCTTAAGATTGTATTGTTAGCATCTTAAATATAGTTTTTAATATGTGATATTAGTTCAATCATTTTCATAGATATAAAAATATCTGATAATTGAATATAAAAGACAAATATGTAAAACATCATGAATATCATATCCCGCTCGTACTTATTTTCTGACTTCATTTACTCATTTTAGACACACATAATTTTAAAACTTTTTAAAATTTATTTATAGAGAATTTTGATGATAATGTTGGAATTCATTATCCCTTAATAAGAAAATTAGAAAACTGAAATGTTCCTTTTGTTTAATAAAAAAATTGTATTAATAATAACCTTAATTCAAAAAGATCAATTTTATTATGCAAATTATAAAATGTTTCATATACATTATCAAAAATCAAAATTCATTTTATTTATTGTCTTCAATTGGGTATTTAATAAGTTAAACCAACTATTTTAAATTTATTTATTAGTTATAATTCTTCAATTTTTGAAAACTAATGTCAAGTTATATATTTT